GTTCAGAAACTGAGCTGGGAACAAATAGCATCCCTCCTCTTTTTCAGGCTAAAGCTTACATTAGTGTGAGGCTTGAGAAGCTGTTGTTTTCACACATAAGTAGCAAAAAACAGACAAATTGCCCCTTGTTTTGTGTAAGGTAATAAGAGTTATTCTGAGGATCATTTGCCATATATGGTATATATGGATTTGCAGCTTTGGAGTGAAGAGCGTATCTTAGTGTGCTCTTACAGCTGTTAGAAACCATTCACTTTGCAGTGGAGTATGAAGATAGATCAAAAGTAATAAATTTCCACTGGATTCTAATCTGCAAATAGTACAATGAAACAAGCTAGGAAATATTCACCCTCCCTAGGAAAACTTTTGTAAGGAAAGTGGTCTTTTGGGCAGTGGGTTGGTAGTGGGATGCTGATGGTAGTGAATTAGCCACAGCAAATGTCTCCGCAGAACTAAGCCTAAAATGAAGTAAGAGGAATTTCCCTTCTTCTCATCGCCTATCCTCTTTCATTACTAGCTCCTTTATGCTTCCACTCAGATTTAAGTGCAGCAGCTATGGGGTTTTTTTATTTTGCTTTTTGAAGTGCACATCCAGTCTTTAATGTGGATGGTGGTGCTGAAAATCATGATTATGTTTATGTAAATACCAGTTGCTTTTCCTTGCAGGGTTTCTTAGAACTTAGCATATGTTGACTAATGAAGCTCACAACTGATACAATTTGATACATTGTTTTAGGGCCCCCCCCTTCAGAATTAGACATATTAAGCAAGGGGCAAACACTGAGCCTTGGTTTCAGCAACTTGGGGAATGCCATTTCGCTAAAGGAGTAGCAGGAGCAAGAGAACCTGGATAGACAGAAGAATGAACTTCTTTCCTGTGGGAGGTGTTGCATGATAACTGCACACACAGGTAGTGTGGCTTGTCAACTGGTTGAAGGGAATGCTCAGTATGGGAGAAGAGAGGAATATTCAAGGGAAGGAATGCATTGCTCTCTGAGAAGAACTGGTTCTGTGTAGAACTGGATTATAGCATGATTTGATCTTTTGAGCTGTTGATTTAAGGATTACGAGTCTGTAGAGGCAGAATCACAAAGTTTGAGGGACTGGTTAAAAAAACTCTCAGTTAATTTTGCTTTGATCACACTTTAGGAATTAGGATCTTTTATAGCTCAAAGCATTTTTACTGGTTTTGATTAAAGAACCATGCACTATAACAACAGCTGAAAAGCCAGAGCAAGCATTCGTCTCTAAGGTGAATGGGATATGGAACTTGTGGGTGCCACCAGGTAATAGGAAGACTGCACTTTCTGGGAGACTCTGTGGTATCTATTTACTACACTAAACATACTAACAATCAAAATACAATGAGGTATCCAAGTATCAGACAAAAGAGTATTGTGTATGTTTCAGTGGATGCTGCGCCTATCCTTTAAATTAAATTACAGTATAACCTCATCAATCCGGATATCAAATATCTGGAATGCTTAAAAATCCAGAACTTTTTAAAACTACGCTAGATTGGGGAGTAGCAGTGGCCAGCCCCAGAGCAGTGGAGGGGGAAGCTTGCATACGGCAGCTGCCACTGCCATCCACCACCCCACGCTGTGGCTCCTCATGGGGCTGCTGCTCTGGATTCATGAGTTTATACTGTATTACCGAAAAAAGACAGAGCTCCTAGCTGCCTCCCCCTCCCTTCCATGTACAGCAGTCAAAAGCTGCGGAGCACATGCAACTAGGAGTAGGGGTTGGAATTTGTGAAGGGATGCTGTTCTCATACTGTTTCAGCTCTGGCCAGATGAAGCCTGAAGGTATTTATGAGGACTGGACTTCCTGTTTCTACTTTCATACTTGTTTGCTATGCATTTATTTTGGGATGAGCGTGAGTTATTTTATGTAAGCCTGTTTGCCTGTTCTTATTGGAGCAGTATATCAAGAACAAGAGTCCTTTTGCTTGCGACCCAAAGTTGACAAATGAAAAGGTGGCCTGCTATTTAACTGAAGAAACATTAACCAAGCAAGGTTGTTATTAGCATGCAGAAAGTAATTTGACTGCCTCTGGGAGGTTTTAATCAAGCCTTGTGTACTGATTGAGATGCACTGCTCAAAAGTGGGAAAACTGATTAACAAATAAAAAAAACTAGAGTGTTTTTCATGCAAACATTCATCAGTGTATCTTATGTAATTACATAGCCAATAAATCAACATAGTGTGTAAGTGCTTCAGTCATGGTGTAAATATCTTAATGACTGGAACATCTTTACACATGAATAATTTATATCTATATGATTCATTTTTCATATCCCTACTTTACTTCTGCATGATAAACTAATCCTTCTCTGTCAGGGGATATGCACTTGATTATCACTTTCTGATTTCTCTTTCTTGTGCTTATTTTTCTCAGTTAGACACACTCCATTTCATCTCTTCTGCTTTCTCTAATGTTGTTATCTTATTTATTCACCTTGTCTGCCTTAGTTTGCCTTCCCAGTGCATCTTAACAGACATCTGGGAAATAATGCCAAGGCATAAGCTAATCTTGCCTTTAACAAGTAACTTTGCAAGCACTGGGGCCCTACCTTGAAAAACTGACTCAGTCTCATCAGATATTATTAACGTCTTGTTGTCCCCTCTGCTGTTGAGGGGGAACTATTCATTATGGAAAGTACTTGTTAGGTGGCCCAGTGCTCAGTGGAAGTTCATTACTTGCAGCACTTCTTTTGGTGCAGCCTTTCACAACAATATTATGAAAATTGCTTGGTTCTGCACATAGTGTTATGAGATACTGATGCTCAAAAAGCATTTTTGTAGCTCCAAAAATCAGTGGGAAGAAAAGCAACAAAGAAAAAAATGTGCTATGAGCACAGGAGTGGGCCTAAACTCCAGTTCCACTTCTACGGGGAATGTTTTGTTTGACTTTCAGCTAGTCACACAAAACAGAATTTTCAAAAGTATGCTTTTGGAGGCAAAAGAGGACAGCTCTATGCCCTGAACAGGGGCATGACAGCCACCAAGTGCGGTGGTGACTATTTTTGTACCCTGCCATCTCCCCAAAAGCAGTGCCAGGGCTTCTGCCCCACTTGTCTCCCTCACTTCCTCTTTCCCCCATCCTTCCCTGATTATGCTACTGCATTTCAGTGCTTAAATTTTTGGGAGTTCAACTTGGGGCCCTTTTGGTCTGGTTTGCAAAGGAACTAAGTGTCCTTTATTTCCACTGATTTCAGTAGTGGCTTTGGATGTTCAACACCTGTACAAAATCCCCTCCTCTCCCCCCCACCCCTCCAAGACTCACCTGGGCAGCAGCTTGAGGCTCCAAAATTGGTGAGTGCTTCTGAAAACATTCTTCTCTCCCAGTTCTCTATCTCTGATCAAAATAATACTGAAGCATTTCCCAGGGGCTTATTGAGGAATAATTAGATAATGCTGATTATCCACCTAGCACCTTTTACTTCCCTTTGCTTCCTTTCTTTTCTATATACCTTATATCTCTGCATATTCTCCTTATAAGGCACACCACACCTGTGTGCGCACTAGTCTACAACCTTAATATTTTGGGTTCTATTGGTTATCCATGTTCATTTTACCCACTCTTGATACTTTGGTACAGTAGTACTGTACTCCATTTCACATTCTTCCTCTTCTCTGGCATAATTCCAACTTCTGTCATACTCTGTGCATTATGTGTTGTAAATTATTTAAAATTAAATAGAACATCCCATTGCTTCCTTTTCCACACTTATTTTAAAGCCCACATAATGAGCTCCACTCATTTCAGTCCCAGCTACTTGTGTGAAGGGCAGTCATATCTAAAGATTCAGTTGCCTTCCCCTTGCTCTGTGAGCCATGGCCCCTCCTGCACAGTGGAACTTCCATTGATTTTACTCTAGTTCTGGTTTTCTACTTTCTTCACTGACTTGATGTTGTGAGACCAAGGTTAAGACCACTCCTTCTGTCCTAGTTCTTGTTATGGCTTCGAAATGCACCTTCACATAATCGAATTTCCTGCCACTTACCTCATTTGCTGATTCATAAATAATGATTGTCAGGAATTCCCTAGTAGTTTAGTTTTCACCCTATGGTCACATGCTTTGTTTTGATACTTAGAAAGCAGCCTGTTTTCCCCCTTGTTCTGACTAACAAGCTTCTGTCTTGGGCTTAATTAGCAATTCAACACCAATAAGAATGAGTCACCAATAAGAACTCTTTGCCACTTTCTTTCTGCTTTGTTTAGTGCTTTCTACCTGCTATTTGAGTTGAGTTACTGTCTTTGAAATGTGGGACAGTTCTTCCCCTATGTCACGTACAGGGTATTTATTATACGTATACCCCGGAGTGGCTCCCTATGCATTTCTTTTCTTTGAATACATTTATCTTAGTATTTCTAGCTGTCACACTCCCTTTCTGTTCTCCCTTTTCTGCACAACTGTACTTTCTATCCTCTCTCCCTGCAGGGTCCCTGATAGTTCCTTTCTCCATCTGATTTTCCTTTACCGTCTTTATTTTGCTACTTCAGCTGCTGGTTAAGGCCCTCCCCTTCTCCACAAAAGATGGAACTAGCGTTCACATTTATGCACTTTTAATCTATTCACTTCATACAGATGTGCTGTTCCCACTCAGATACAGGAGCATTTCACATTTTTCTCAGCATTAGTCCTTCAGAACTAATTAATCCATGTCCCAGCTGAATTTTGACTTTGTGTGCTCATTGAGCCATGTTGCTAGTGCACCTCAGATGTGCACCTTGCATGCATGCTGAATTCTCAGCAATAGCTTTGCCCAGCACAAGCTTCCAAACACCCACAACAATCACATTTACACAGCTACACTTACTTTCTTTCATTCCACATCCAAAGCATAGGCATACCCACTGATTCCATAAACCTACATATGGCTCCTTCTGGAACTCATTTGCTGTCTAAAGAAATAATAGCATCTGTGGAGATTTTATGTGGAAAGAATATGAATTGGTATAATACTGAAGGGGTTTTTTTGTCTAATTTTAACAGATTCAGTAGCAACAGCATCTGGACCATTGCTAGTTGAAGTTGCCAAAACTCCTGGCACTGCTCTTGGGGTTGCATTAACTACCTCGATGTGCTGCAACAAACAGGTCATTGTCATAGACAAAATCAAATCTGCAAGTATCGCAGACAGGTGAGTGCTATGGGACAGCCTGCATTGCAGGTTCATGCATCCGTGTTTATCTTTATTTCTGGTTTTTTGTTTGTTTTGTTTTGATTGTTTGTTTAAAAAAAAAACGTTCCTTGATATTTTAGATAAGTTTGCCTAAGGAAGTTGCTCTAAAGGCAATTAAAGCTTAAAATTAACCCATCTTGGCAGACAGTTGCCTGTTTTAGGGATTTCATGACACCATTTACTTTTGCTCATTCCCACCTCCCTTAATTACAGAAAAACAACCCAACCCCAATGCACTATAGGTCATGCCATAAATGAAACACTGTTCTCTGGCATGTCTCAGGCTGTTTGTATATGCTGTGACATGCGAAAAATGTAGAGGTTTGCTTAGCTGTTTTAAATGTAATGCTCCAGCTGTGATTAACATTAAAAATAAATATCTTGCTGGAATTCTTAAAGTCAGTCCCACAGTGTGGAACAGCTGTCAAAGTAAGTAAATTTTGAGGCTTGCAACCTTGAAGTGTTCTTTTAGGATGCATCATTCATTCTCATGGCACGGTGAAATGGAACTCCACATACCTGGATTTCTTTCCTATTAATATTTTAGAATACCACTGAGGTATTAGAAGGACTGGCTTCCTTATTTTGCAGTATTAGATGGGGCAAATCACCTTTTCAGCTTCATTTGAAAAAACCCACCATATGGAGATAAGGTTATATTTACATTGGAGAAAAAATTGTTAGCTGTTTTCCCCCAGAGACTCTAATCTCTATATGGAAGCTGTTGGATCTTCAAAAAAAAATCCCTAAATGCTGTTTCAGCAGCAGATTTCTCCTGCATGTCCCCAGTCATCCTTCCTTGTAATTTCTCTCCAGCAATGGTGCTGTTGGTGGCACCCACTTGTAGCAGTGAGTCTACAGCTCCACTGTGGGCTTTACCCTACAGTAGAACCTTTGAGAGTGACGGCCATTGATCCAGGGGCGCTCTCCAGTTCAGTGGTGCAGGATGCTTTAATTTTCTCCCTCTGTTTTTTTCCCATTCCACAGGGGGTAACCAATTAAAGGAGCTGTCCACTTGACTGGTACGTCGGGATGCTGACTGCTGTGTTTGCATTTCTCAACTCATCCAGTAGCCAGTCTCTTGAGTGCAGCAAGATTTAGCAGCTAGCCCCTAACCTCCCCGCCCCCTCACCCCACTCCTCGAGTCACCATGCTAGCCCTGGTTTCCTTATTTGTTTGACTACTGCATAATTTCATCCTCATTTACAGCTTTTGTACTAATACATGTTTGAATATGAATAACTCAAAAAATGATGAACTGGGTGCTTGTGTGAGGAATATGGGCAAGTTAGCTAAATCTCTTTAAGCTCTTGTCATTTTATTCTGCTGCCATTCACACATATATTAATAGTCAGCTACCCCATTCCAGTTCTGTGAGTGGTGTCTTGGCATATACTGCATTTACTGACTTGTATTTAAGATTTGTACTAATAGACTTAAAGTTTAAACAGTGACAGTTCCTATGGATATACGAATTCTTCTCTTAAAAAAACCAAAAAACTCATAGTTGTCATGAGCAGTTTGAAGGCAGTAAATCTTATATTCCCAATAAGGAGCATACTTCATCATGCTGAGTTTTTCTCTATTTCCACAGATGTGGTGCATTGCATGTAGGAGACCATATTCTGTCCATCGATGGCACCAGCATGGAGTACTGTACATTGGCAGAAGCAACACAGTTCTTGGCTAATGCAGCAGATAATGTCAAACTTGAGATTCTCCCTCACCATCAAACTCGACTGGCACTAAAAGGGCCAGAACATGGTAAGGGGATGTGTAGTCCTGGGTTCTGCCTCTAATCTTACTTAATCCTTTTCACATCATCTACCATTGCTGAGGTACCTAGAAAATGAATGTCAAACCAATTATGTACATACTATTATTTTCCAGTTGCCCAGATTGTGTTCCTGAAAATTTCTTCTGCAAACTGTGCGCTGTGTTTTGTTTTGTTTTATTTTACCACAGATTACCCTCAAAGAGCCTTAAAGATGAGGGGGTAAATACTTCTCATTTAAAAACATAAAGAGATTTGGGGTTTATACTTTTGTAGGCAGATGAAAAAAAATCAAGTTAGGTATTTATAAATTTAGTGAATTCAGAAAAAAACCCTACCATTACCAGTTTTTGGCAGCATATTCACTTGGAAAGGTGTTCTGAATGACTATAGATTCAGCTACTTTCTGTGAGCTCAGATAAGTTCTTGACACTTCTTTTCCAAGTACTCAAAAATACCCAAAAGAAAACAAAAATCCAATTTCCCTTATTGATAAAGTTCTCCTTGCCTGCTATATTTCTCAAAGGCACTTATCAGGTTACTTCACTACTCATTTTAGATGTTTATCAACAGTAGTTTTTGTTGATGTACAATTTCCTCAAAGTCCCTGCCATTTTCTAGTTTACTGCTTCTTGATATTACAAATGTTATGCCAGAGTTTAAGGAAAAGTACTCCTTTTCCACGTCTAATGAAAATACATTTCTGATCCCAGAATAAAACAGAGAACATTTATATATTACAAGGAGACCAAATTAAAAACAAAAAGTTTTATACAAGGTAGCCAAACTCACTTCTTTGTCTTCTGCTGCTCCATAAATTTTAGTATAGCAGTAAAATGCTCTAAGATGGAATAGCTCAAATTATTAATGAATTTACCAAAGCCATATATTATACATTTTTTACAGAAGTCTCACAGAATCTAGGCTGTCTTTCTGCAATCCAAGCAAACTTAATTTATATCACTAGTAACATTCAACCTCATAAGGAATTATTATACCTACCCACAGTACAACCAGAGAGAGAGGGAGAAATCAAAGGCTGCCAGATAATTTCTTGCTGGAAACAGCCTTTTTAATTAATTAAGGCTCATAGCAGCCTTAATATGAGGAAAATCCACTGCCCATATTATCCTTATCAGATGTTAATTTTTATACCACAGTTAAAGCTCAGAAATCACACAGTCTGGGTAGGGCATCAAAAGAAGAATCAATTTAATTTGATTTGTGTTAAATCTGATTCATTAAAATATATTGCCTTGCTCAGGTTGTTACGAGTGTTTCTGGGATTTTCTTGGTCACGTCATCCTCCTTGCTATATTTGTTTTTTTCATAAAGCACTTTGAGGTTACTTCTATTAGATGTAGATCAGTGAGCTGTTCAGGCATCAGGCTGTTGTACTGTGAAGAGAAGCTAAATGGTTCTAGCCTGACTCTGGAACTGAATGTCCTAATTTCAGTACAAGTTAACCTCACATGGCTTATACAATATTGTTGGAAAAACACATTTTAATTTAATTTTCCAAGTCAAATATGTTCCTTTCCTTTTCCATTGCCTCATCTACCCTTTGAGTAGCGGCACTTCCCACTATGTGGGCAAACCCTACTTAGACATAAAAGCTTTGGTGTATTTAGCCAGTTATAAGATTAGGAATTCTGGAACAAAAAGTAGAGAAAAATTATAACTTTTTTTCTGGCCATAGCAGAGTTCATGTGCTGAATGTAACAGTGTTTGACAATACAGCCAAATCCCTGCCCTGGTTGGTTAATACAACAGTGCAGCCAGGGGGAAATACAGGTCCTACCCTGCAGTATTCCATCTTGTTCAGAGTGTACAGGCCACTTTGTGCAGAGTAGTTCATCTCTATTCTAAAAATGAGGTATCTTTAATCTGCTCTACTGAGCTTTTGGCCTGTTGGCCAACACATCCTCCTTACATCCGCCTTTAATACAAGTGTTGGCCACCCTGCCTCATTAAGATGCATCCCAGACTCGTTCTTATGAGAAGAACTCAAACATGGCCTTAACTTTTATCAAGGAAGAAATAATTCCTCTGAGAATTTCACTGCACAACAATAAATAGTGACATTGGATTTTTGCTGTGATTTGATTAATCAGACCCTAAGATAGGATTTTTCTGCTGATGGCTGAGAGAAGTAGTTTATTCCCCAGGACAATATAATGCCAGTGATGGATGCTGGCAAAATGAAAATGTCAAAGCAATAAATTGAGATGACTGACGTGTAAATCACTTCATTGTGGGAACAGTGATTTATGGTCCCTTTTTTAATATATATGAGTACAACTAATGCAGGTGGAGACTTGCAAAGCTTTAATTAGTGATCATCTATTATATATCTTGATAATGTTTTCTTAAGTATTTTTCTAAAGAAAGTTTTAATTAAAGCTGGTAAGGTCAGAGGGAGATGAGAAACACTACTCTCTCTTTTTAAAAAAAAAGCCATTAGAAGTATTATTTTTGAGATGAAGAAAAGTTTGCATCCCTGACTGCCAGTGAAGGGACAGAGCCTGCTTGCTTGTTTGCTTATTTATGTATATGTTTGTTTGTTTATTTATCTTTCAAAGTGCTTTCATTTTTGTTGCTTTTTATTTATGCAATTCAGTTACCTCTCCCTCTTCTCTGGTCCTTTTTGTTTTCTGATTTCCTGTCATCCCTTCATGCGGGCAGTGAAGGTTCAAAGGAGCAACAGGCAACTTGCGTGGAATTCCTGTGCCAGCAACCACAGCAGCCTCCTCACCTATCACCATTATAACACCTACCACCCTGACCATTGCAGGATGCCAGCCTTGAAATGCCAGAAAACTCCTCCTCAAAAAGGCCTTCGTAATGTTCCACACTTTTTCCTCCCGACATTTTTCTTTCCTTCCTCCTCCTCCTCCTTTTTTCCCTCCTTTCCCTCTCAAACTTTTTTCATTTCAGGCACTAAAATCTTTCAATTTTATGGTGTTACTTTTTTTCATAACATGCCCTGCCAAGGTCTTTCTGACATCTCAGGCCTCTTTTTTTTCTCTGCAATCAGCAGCCTTTGTAGATGGAGAAAAGCTTTAAAATTTCCAGGTACCCAATTTTTCAGCAATATGACTAGGTCATTAGCTTTGAATACAAAGAATGGCCTGCAAAATTGATATCAGAAATCACCTAGCAAGAAGGCATGACTGGAGTCAATGTGTCCAGGCATATTGATTTACATTGCTTCATGGTTGTGTATCTAAAATACTTATTTTATGTACTTTGCTTAAAGTAAGAGAGAAACTGTTTAACTTTATGTTTGTATCTATAGTGTGTCTGCTACTCTCTAGGTACTTTCATATCTTACAGGGCATTGAAATTCTGGTTGTGATTTTATCTAGGGTCACTCACTAAGTTTGAGAGATGTTTTTTGTTACTAAATACACACAAATCATTTTTGTGTGCCATACACCTTGTCTGATTCATTAGTGAGTTACAGGCATGTACTACACTAGTCCCTGAGATAGAGTACGATGTGCCAAGTATTCCATTTCTTACAGCAGCTTTGGTGTCTTCATCCTTCTCTCCTACCTCCATGAGCGCATACAGCCTGAGTTCCCTGAACATGGGAACCTTACCTCGCAGCCTCTACTCCACCAGCCCACGCGGAACAATGATGAGGCGGAGAATGAAAAAAAAGGACTTCAAAAGCTCGTGTAGGTGATAACAGCATGTATTTGAAATGTGTGAGAAATAGGGGTTGGGGAAACAAAATCAGAGCTCAGGCATAAAGTAACTATAGTAAAGAAAAGTAGTCAGAGAAGGACCATTGTTTCTGTGTTAGACCTGGGAAACAGGAGACAACAGTGTACATAGTGCACTGTGGCCAAGAGTAGCATGAGTTGAATACATCTAGCTTGAATAACAACTATATAGGTGTATATATAGCTAGTATACATTGCTATATTAATAATGGATATATTGTTACCTATATGTACTATGTAATAATATTATTAGCATATACTTTGCCTCAACAAATACTGGATGGGTTTGCAGTTCCAGTAATGAAAGTGATATTAAAATTCTTTTTTGCCTTTTCCTTCTGCCCATTTTCCCTTGGGACTAGAATTCATAGTTAAACATTCAAAAATAGACTCTTGGTAGATTCAGCTTTCCACTCTTGTTACCACAGCATCGTAGCTAGTTTAACTATAGAACATACATTTAAAGACATATGCATGTTTTGGTGGATTGTGGGAAGTAGAAGATAATAGTGAGGACTGTTTTATCAGATTGCAGTAATACAGTTCCAAAGTTGAAGTTTTGATGAAGATAATTTTCTGTAAAAGTAACAGTATAGTTTGCTATATTGGATGTTTGCATTGATTAAGTTGTGCACCTATTTGATCTTCACAGCTACAGTTTTTATTACGGGTTTTATTTTTTTTTATCAGTGTCTGGTTCAGGAATGTGTTTATTTTCTTGAAGGGGAGAGACAGATTGTGCAAAACCAAATTAGCCTTTAGCTTGGAGATCACAGCTTTCACCAAAGATATGAGAGAGACAGGTTTAAGTCCCTGCTCTCCATGAGTTGGAATGGAGACTTACACAAGGGTTTCCCATGCCCCATGCAGGTGTCCAAACACCTGAACTATTACTTGTTCTGGGGTGAAGGTTCTCAGTTTTTTTCTGTTGGGGTTGTTTCACTTTGTATGGAATTTTAAGTATACACCAGGGCAGAGAAAAGACTATGTGACTAGTGTTTAGGACACTTACTTGTGATATGGGAGACTTTGGTTCAAGTGTTTGCCCTGAAATCTCCTGCAGGGATTTAGACCTGGGTCTCTCTCTGATACTGAGCTATTGAGTAGTCTGGGTGTGGTCGGGAACACACTCGGTCTCTCACTCTCATTTTTCATGACAGTCATTTAAGAAGGTCTTAATTTCATACCAGCAAGAGACATGCCAAATGCTGAAATCATTATTTGTTTTGTAAAACAAAATTCCTTTTTTCCAGTTAGCCCAATAAATAGTTTTACACTTGAATGAACCACAGAAAACCTACATGCACATATCAGTAATAGTATGGGACTCCTTTGGAATGCAACTCAATGCTTTTAAAATCAATAAATCATTCTTGATTCCAGGATTTTGTTTATTGCTATTCACAGAATTTTAAAAGGCATCATACGTGACCCCATTGGTCAATGACAAACAAAACTCAGGAGGGTAGGGCATGTTTCCAATAGGCAAGACACACCCTGGCTAGGATTCCTTAATCTCTTCCTATCGTGTCAGTTATTTGAACACAATTATCTCTTTTTTTTCCCTTTGATAAAAAGTATCTCAGGGACACAGGTCATAATAGAACAGCTTCCAAAATTCCTGTGTTTTAAAACTGTCAGGATAGAATTACCTGGATGCTCTTGCCATGGCTAAAATTTAAAAAAATAAGGTAGACAGGTATATAATTCACCTTGTGGTGCTTACACATCCCCCAAGTCCTCAAGTTGATAAGTTTAATTAACTTATTTTTTTTCATTTTTTAGTTTATAAGACTGTATCTAAAACCAAAAGAATTACAAGAATCATTATAAAAATGTAGGTTCTGGAATAAATATGCAGAAAATCATCCAACTTCATCAGAATAAAGTCTTTCCCAGGAGCTCGCCTAGCTGACCCATCTACCCCTCATTTCTTTCAGGAAAAGTCTAAGGAAGCAGACTTTGCGAAGTTGCATGGAATTTCAAGAATATAATAGTGACATTTAGTATTGTCTAATGCATTTGTGAGTTTCATTTAGAACAATAACATTATTGCTAAGTTTTGTGTTTTTATATACTTCCCTTTTTAATATATGATTGTATTTGTAGAAAAAAATAGAAAACTTGTTTCACAAAAAAAATACATTTGTCATTGACTTAAATAGAGCTCTGCACAAACATAGGATTGGCCCAGCTGGCACTCTAATGAAATCATAGAAACATAGTGGTGGAGGCAACCTTAGGTGCATCTCTACATGCCCCTGACTGTACATTGGTAGTGCACAGTCCTGGCGGCACACGCTTATTTTTGGATGCTACGTTGCCATAGGGATGAGCTATGGTGGCGTAGCTGATCACTGTGGCGATGCAGTGTCGGCATCATGGTTTGTGCCCACCAATGCTACGTCACCGTAGCAACAAGCTACATCAACATAGCATTACATGCAGACACTCCCCTTTAGTATCAAGTTATCCAAGCTCAGGGTCAGTGGTTTTGGAACTGTTGGACAAAGATAAACTTTTACTGTTTTCTCTAACAAACAAGTTTATCTAGGGAGTAAAAACTGTGGACTTCTACCACAGCACATGTCATCACCTTTAAGCAAACACTTACTATTGCCCCCCAGTTTCTTGCCAAGGTAAATCAGCTTTGATTTTTGTGGGGAAGAGCCCCATGTGAAACTAAGGGGGATTTTTTCTTTACTTGTCCTTTAGGAGTGCAAATCTTTTTAGGTAGCTGTACTCTTAGGCCTTGTACAGATATCCAGTTTCTCCTGGAAGAGTTGCTACTCTCCCAGGAGAAACCATGAGTGTGCGGTTGTTCAGGCTTTTTTTCCTAGAGTAAAAATGGCCATGCCAGGAGAAAAATAACCTGGGAACAGCCAGTGTTAAATCACTCCTGGGAGAATTTCTCTAGGGAGAGTGAATATCTGTACATACTGTGGCTTCTCTCAGAAGAGAACTTGATCCTCCAGCACCTCCGCTCCCCACTTCTCTCAGGGAGACAGTATAATACTCGTGCCCCTCACAATCCCCACATTGTGCTGCAGGGAAACACAAGCTGACCTCGGGCAGTCTGGGTTGGCCAGTCAGGGTTGCCCTATGCACTTCCGCTATCTTGTCACCAGGCTAAGGGAGCCTGCAGAGCACACTGAGATTTGTGCACAGGGGCCTACTTTGGCTGCACAGTGTCAGCACTGTATGCTTTCCGCTTTCCAGGGCCTCAGTATTCAAATGTCTGTAGACATGGCTCTGGGTAAGTTTCTCTACCAGGAGACCAAACCAGGGATAATTCTCCCAGATTATTTGAATGTGTGTACACAACCTTAAATAGATATATTTTTTATCTGATCAACCATTTAATGCAGTACCTGTATTGACCTGCTAATGCATTCTGTTGCATCATTTGAAAAACTGTCAATCCCTAATAAGGCATTGCTGAAATTAGACATTTAAAAGTATGTATGCTCTCTTGCACGTGCATGTATATGTCCACACATGGAAAAATAGTGGGATTATTACATAAATACTGCTTTGGAAAGCAGTAACAGTAAATGCTGCCTATAGCAAAATAGTTCTTTAGATTCTGCTATATTGTAAAGCAAAGGTCTGTCTGTTCAGTTGAAGAAACTTTTATTACCTAAGGCAATTTTATTACTGCTATAGACCCTGGTGACAGTCATGACTCATTTTAGTATGTTTTTAAGAATTGTTTTTAATGCATATAAGTCTTTCCATGAAATTCACCTGAGTGCAAAGGACCAATATAAGGCCCATAAAATAGCCACTTATGTGGTTCATGGATTTTGTACTGGTCCTTTGCATAAGAGAGAATGTCATTCTTCAATTCCATAAGAAATTCAATTGCAGTCTCCTAAGAATAGTTTTGCATTTAGAAAGCTTTGGGGGATAGCTGCCAACCATGAAAGGATGTTAATCTTCATGCTTCAAAGTTTAAAACAATCTTTGTTAGATATAGGATGATACTTATATGGAGGGGGGAAGGGAGGAAGGTCATTCCGTATTTGTTTGACACCTTTCACATAAGCAAGTAGTAATAACTATTTTCAGAAAGTATGTCCATACTGAAGTCCCAGGCACAGCACAGAGAAGGGTAAAGTCTAATTTACTTTACTTCTTGGGGAATTTTTGAAATCAATGATGAGCTCTGTCCTGCTGTACCTAAACTGTTACCAGCCACTGAACCAGGTAATTTAGAAGTAATCAGATATTTTTTCACTGTAATATAGCATTGTCTAGTACACTACAGGATAGCTGTACCTGGAGACAGACACTACATTAAATAAACCTTGTGTGTGATCCAGTGAAGGAATTCCTATGATCCTTAAGGAAAATGACTGCTCCTGCTGCTAAGTAGAGGGTTTTAGACAAGACTGCTCTTCTTGTGTGGAGCTCATGGAAACTAGCTATGTCCCGGTTTGACAACCCAAGTTTATGCCAGATATAGACTGTTGCCATTTGTTAAGGCAACAGCAAGTTATATTTTTGATTTGGTGACCAATTTCTAGCCAATCAGATTGTGATATCTTTTAAATGCAAGTTTTAGCACTTCTGTTTCCTGAGGTGTAAGAAATGAATGTACTAGTAAAGAGTGCTTTGAATTTTTCATTGCTTCTTGTTTAGGAAAACAAGCATAACTTATATAATCATCCCATGTTTGTGATAATAAAGTGTGATTGGGTAAGGTACAATAAACACTTCATTGCTGTGAGTTTGCAATGGCATATTACTTCTGCAGGGCTTCCCAAATGGAGTTATAAAAATGGAAGGCTCCTCTTGCATCACCTTTTATATATTCCACTTAATTTGTTTTTCACCTTTAAGCTTCCTCTTCCTTTTCAACTTTGAAGGATGTTACTTACCATGGAAACAATGTCATTGTTGTTTGAGTAAAATTTAGACCCCCAAAAGCTATATGATGGGGCTATATA